ATCCCTGATAAAATGATGATGAATGTAAATATGCTTAGTTCTTCTATGTTGAATGGGAAATGTTGATGACACTCAGGTTGTCACAGAATAATGTCATGACATATTGCTTGATATTATAGTCTTTTAACATCCGCTTCATCCAAATCAGCTGAGACGAGTTGCTTCATGCTGCAATATACTCAGCTTCAGCAGTGGATAGAGACACACAATTCTACTTCTTGTTGAACCAAGATATGAGATTATTCTATAAGAAGAAGAGACCTTCTGAAGTGCTTTTGCTATCATCAGCACTACCTGTTCAATCAACATCATAGTATTCTACTAGCATAGAATACGAACCATGAGAATATAAAATGCCATATTCACTAGTACCATTGATGTACTTTAAAATCCTCTTCATTTGATTGATGTGACTTATTTTGAGCACAACTTGATATCTTGCACAAACACCTACAATAAATGTTATGTCAGGTCTGCTAGCCATAAGATATAACAAGCTACCAATCATGCTTTTGTACAGACTTTGGTGCATATTAACACATTTTTCATATTTAGATAACTTCAAATGAGTAGATGCAGGTGTCCTCTTGTGACTAGCATTCTCCATACCAAACTTCTTCACTATGTTTTTGGCATACTTACTTTGAAAGATGAAGTTAGAATCATCCACCTGTTTCACTTGAAGTCCAAGAAAATAGGTTAATTCACCAACAAGACTCATCTCAAATTCAGATTGTATTTGCTTGACAAAATGTTGAACCATCTCACTTGACATTCCACCAAAAAAAATGTCATCCATATATAACTGGGCAATCATGAGCTTTCCATCTTCTCCTTAACAAATAAGGTCTTTCCTATCCCTTCTTTCCTGTAGCCATTATTGACAAGAAATTATGTCAACCTTTCATACCAAGCCCTAAGATCTTGCTTTAATACATAAAGTGCCTTCTTCAAATTGAACACATGATCCAGAAAAGAAGAATCAATGAACCCTTTTGGCTGTTCAGCATACACCTCTTCATGTAAGTACCCATTCAGAAAGTTCATTTTCACATCCATCTGAAACAACTTGAACTTCACTAAACATGCCACTCCTAATAGTAGTCTGATGGATTCAAGACGAGCAACTGGAGCAAAAGTATCATCAAAATATACTCCTTCAATTTGAGTGTATCCTTGAGCCACAAGTCTGGCCTTATTTCTGGTGACAGCTCCATTTTCATCAGATTTATTTTTGTACACCCATTTTATACAAATTATATTTGTTCCATTAGGCCTAGGAACTAAATCCCATACTTCATTCCTCTTGAACTGACCCCGTTATTATTGCATGGTATTGATCCAAAGTTCATCAGTTAAAACTTTCTTCACATTCTTGGGTTCAAACTTAGAGACAAAGTAGGAGTTAGAAACCACTTATCTTGATCTAGTAGTAACTCATTCATTTATATTTCCTATAATGAATTCTTTAGGATGATCTTTCTAAGTTCTGATTGAAGGTCCTTTGTTGGCTTGATTGTTATCAGGTTCAATATCAGCAGTCTCAATATTGGTATCAACATCTACCACATTTTCTGAATCATCATTCATCTGGAATGATCTTCCAACATCTTCTTCGACATCATGTCCACTCTCTATATTTGAGTCATCAACCACAATATTTATAAATTCCACCGTGATTTTAGTTCTGGAATTAAAGACTATATAAACTTTGTTGTTGGTAGAGTAGCTAAGAAATATTCATTCACCACTCTTGGGATCCATTTTTCTTTTTTGTTTACGATCATCCAAAATGTAACATTTACTTCCAAAAACATGAAAGTATTTGACAATAGGCTTTCTTCCTTTCCATAATCCATACAGTGTACCTGAAGTGTCAATCCTTAAAGTGATCCTATTATGAATATAACATGTAATATTCATTGCTTCAGCCCAAAAATGATATGGAAGATGCTTAGCATGAAGTAGGACCCTGGCTGATTCTTGTAGAGTCTTATTCTTGCGCTCAACAACTCTGTTTTACCGAGGGGTAATGGGAGAAGAGAATTCATGGCTAATACCCTTAGAGGAGAAAAATTCAGCAAATTTGTTGTTTTTAAATTCCTTGCCATGACCACTTATGATCCTTACAATTCCACTTTCCTTCTCTCTTTGAAGCTTTTGACATAGATCTTTGAACACCTCAAAGACATCTGATTTTTCTTTGATGAAATTCACCCAAGTGAGTCTTGAAATCATCAACAACAACATAAGAATACATTTTTCTACAAAGACTTTCAACTTACACAGGCCCCATTAAATCCATATGAAGCAGTTCTAAAACTTTTGAAGTAGTCAGATGTTGAATCTTCTGGTGTGGCGTCTTGGTATGCTTCCCAACTTGACATTCACCACAAGTTTTTCCTTCCTCAATTTGAGCTTAGGAATGCCTCTGATAGCTTCTCTAGACATAATTTTCTTCATACCTTTTATATGCAAATGGTCAAGTTTTTTATGCCACAACTTGACTTCATCTTCCTTGGACATCATGCATGTAGAGGAACAAGTAATTGCTTGAGGTGTCCATAAGTAGAAATTATACTTAGACCTGGCTCCTCTCATCAGCACTTCATTCTCCTCATTAGTGATCACATGTTCAGACTTAGTGAAATTAACTTTAAAACCTTGATCACATAACTTACTGATACTTATTAGATTAGCAGTCATACCTTTTACAAGAAAGACGTTATCAAGCTTAGGGGATCCCTCATAAGCTAGTCTTCCAACTCCTTTAATTTCTTCTTTGACACCATCTCCAAAAGTGACATAACTAATGGTATGAGACATAACTATTAGCACACGTGAGCCTCTGCATCATCACCCACCTCATCTCTGACACTCACACCTAACATGTGTCTTTTTAAAATTCTGTTTATGGAAGTTGAACCGTGCATGAACTCCCAGATCTTTTCAACTTCATAAAAGGACTTAGTTGGGTACAATCCAATTATACAGAAGATATGACACATTATCAAATATCATTGTAACTTCACAACTATAAGGTGGAAGGTGTTCATCACCTCCTACCACCTTTCTGAGAAGACTGTCATCAAGACATGATCAACTATGTTGACCCCAATAATGGTGAGGTAGTCTAGACTGGAGCCTTGGATGGTATCAGTGAGCCGATACTCTTCTAGTGTAAGAGAGATGATTTTTTTCCCATTATTGATAGACTTAAAGGGCCCATAGTGTAACTAAAAACATAATAGAATTGATTAGAAGAAAAATAAAACATGAATGAAACATAATACGATACACCTAAGACATAATATACATTTAACTTTCAGATATCTATGGCCACATTTTCCTTGTAATAACACAATACAAATGTCTCATATAGGTCTCCTAGATATACCTCTGACTCTCCTTTTTCTCTTGAAGCACCTGCACCTCAGGCACCTCCACCTCGAGCAACTCCACATTAACCTCTTGAACATAAGACTCAGATTATGGCTAGTATGGTCCAGCTCTATTGACGGCATGCATATCTTACGCGCATGCTCCTTTCCAATAGAGACGGTAGTAAAGTTTATGATTCCTGTTGATCCTCAACATGGTGTTCTTGTTCATTACTAAAAAAGGAATTAGTCAAGCATTTTGGAAAGAAAATAACATAAAATTAACTTCAACAATTTTATAATATTGTGGTTCGAAATACAGAAACTAAAGACATATTCTAGGACGTGTCTAATTTCTATAATTCAAAACATGCTTGGGCGTATCCATATTTTACAATCTGGACAATAACAGTAACCTAGAAGAAGAAAAACGTAATGCATAACTCATGTATTTGAAGAGTATTTTTGTCATTTCAAACTTAGTATGAGAAATTTAAAAGGTGTTGATTACCAATTTTAACATATAATTTAACTCATGAAATAGACTTACAAGGAATTTAAATTTCTATTCATTTCAATCTCAATTGTAACATTTATCTAACAATTGAAATAAAAAGGATATAGATTATTGCTTTCTATAAAATTGTATTTAAAATATTCATTTTATTTATTGATAGAAATTTCTTTATTAAAACACATGTGGATAATGTGAGATAGCAATCAATTCTCTTTATTTATTTATTTTAAGAAAAGGCATAGTTAAAAAAATTACATGAATAAATTTTAGTATTTTGGTGTTTCTGTTTTTTTCGATATATTTTACTTAGGGGTGGCTTTTCGATACATTTTACTTAGGGGTGATAAACGGGCGTGCTCGCCCCGTTTAGGCCCGCCCCATAAAAACCCGTAAAAACTGGAGCGGGACGGGGCGGGCATAGTTGAGGATGAAGGCCTAAAATCTAAATCCGTCCTGCAAAAAAATGAGTATGGAGTAGAGAAAGTCTGCGGGGCACTGTACCTTTTAGATCTAAAAATACAAAATTTTATGCTAATAATCATGCCCGCAAAAGTCTACGAAAAAAACGGAACGGGACGGAACAGTCACATTAGAGAGTGAAGGCTTAAATTCTTGACCCGCCCTGCACTAAAGTACGGGTAAAATAGACATGCTCAACGGGACAAACCTATTTTACCACCCCCTAATTTTACTAGATAGAAGCAATTAAGGTAGAAGATGCAACATTCTTAAAGCATCAAAACACATAATTTAGTTGTTGTTCTCACACAAGCAATGTTCATGTCCTAGTTTGAGATAAGATGACAATTACCAATACAATAGTTGTTAAAATGAAGGTTGATTATAATCTAATGTGAATTTCAAATAATTAAGCTAACTCAAACACTTAACTTATGGAACAAAATTACAATACAAACATACTTTAAAACAACAAATACCAAGCCTTATTCCACTAACTGTAGTCTGCCACATGAATCTAATTCTACTATAATGTTCTATCAAAAATCATGTTTCTATGAATTTTCTCAATCTTCACACGAAATCCAGAATCATCAAACCCCTAATAAATCACCTGCAATAAATTACAATAACTACTACATGAACTATTTGTAATTGTAGAGCTTGTAGTCCAGGCTCAAGTCAGGTTTCCACCACTGATGAATCCCATGAGCTTCTTTGAAATCAGATGCAGGTGCAACATTAACTGTCAAAGAAGCCGAAGGAATGAGGTGCAACGGTTCAGAATATTCCTTCCCGAATGCGCCCATCAATAGTCCACCGAGCGAGTTTTGAGTTGCTAGCCTTTCAATCACGCCCGCACCAATGTCCTCCATGTTTCTCCTGTGTTCAAAATATCCAATATACTCCGAACATAAATGATCAGATGGATTCACAAATAAACACGGAACCCACGCAGACAAAGCAGTAAATGGATCCAAAGAGAGATCCTTCGGCTGCTTGGCTTTCATAGCCAATGTGAGTCCGGCTGTTATCACGCTTCCAGCGAATCGAATCCCATGTTTTATTCTCTCATCCTTAATCTTTTCAAGTGGGGCAGATACAAAGGGAGGGTTGAAAAGAAAAGATTCGATAAAATTTCCATCCTTAGCCATGGTTTTCCCGGTAAGCATCGCCATTGCTGATCCTAGGGAATGTCCGGCCAACCAAACATTTGAATCACCTACAGTTGCTACTGTGTTTCGAACAGCTTGAACAGCTATGTTCGAGCGCGTAGTTTGATGAAGTCCCTGTCGGATGAAATGGATATCTAACTCAACATCGCGTGAAACCGAGTGTGCTTTCGTTAGAGTCCCTCGAAAGGCAATCACATAACGTGGACTTCGATATAATGTGTCGTTAGATTGAGATGACGGAGGTTTGAACTCGTAGATTGCACCAAAGATAGAAGAATCAACATCATCTACAAGTGGACGAAGTAGTTGAAAATGAAAAAATGTCCACCAAGGAGGCGCGAGAGCATCCGAACCTTGGCGATTTTCTTGCCGGTCCCTTTCTAGAATATAAACACCTTGAACCAAACAAGCAGCAACTGACATCCGATGATATGGATTATCCCTGAATCAAATATTAAACGTAAAAGTCCGTTATACTAGTTAGATATTGATATTCAAAACGTTGGGCGTAATGCCTCCTGCTATCAGATTTCCACTATCAAACCATCCATTATTTATATTCACGCACCAAATTCAATAGCATTGAACATGATGTGTGTTAAGAGTCTCGCATCTGATTCCGAGTAGAGAAATAAAGGAGAGCAAAAGATGGATTTGAAGATCTTACCATAAAACATAAGTCAAATGCAAAGGTCCCGAGAGGTCAAAACTTTCCCTCTCAGAGGCCATGGAACTCTACAGCACAAACTTATGTCCTTTCTTCTGATATTACAAAACAATTCAAAAATGAAAAGAAACAGATCAGAATTTGATTTTTAAGGTATCAGATTCCGAATCACATTTTGGTCAATAACAAAAAGAAGATTCCGGAACACATATCATGGTCGAATCGAAAAGTAAATCATTGAATCAACGACAACGATATAAAAAAGAAATAGTCATAGAACATTCTCAGAATATGATAACGGTACAATAGGTGAATGAAGAAATGAAAATGAAACTACGCTTGAAGAGAAATGGAGGCAAATGAAAATGGAAAGATGATTCTTACGTTGGAATCGGAGAAGATGAAACGAACGTCGGTTATTTCGGATCTGTGAAGGTACGACGTCGTATGCTCCGGTGGTTGGATCCTCGTGATTATGAAATGGAATCTACCGCACGACCATACCAAATTACTTTTGTACTTCCTTACATTCATCTTTCCTTAAACATACATAGGTTACTTGTTATAAGACAAAATTTGTTTAAAAAACAAATTTTTTCTTTTTATAGAAAAAATGAGAAGTTATATAAAATGGTCACAAATTAATGTTTTTTTAGTTTTATCGAAGATTTAAATAAAGAAATTAATTACTTTTTACCATAAGACGACACTAATATTTAATAGGAATAGTTTAGTAAATTTTTATGAGAAAATGGATGATACTTTAACAATGTAATACAGTTTTATATTGTTAACCATCATGATGATGAATTTTACTAAATTAGATTATAATTTTAAAAAAAAAAATATATATGATATGACAAAACAATATATTTCTATTAGATGACGAGTGTAAAACTTTTTTACATATTTCCTTTTAAACTCAATTTTTATTCTTTTAATTTTATTCATTAACTTTTTTAAGAAAAATATGTATGAAAGTGGTTTATTGTAATGAATATTGTGAAATAGAAAGGGTGTTATTTTTTATGTTGATGTATTTTTAAAGCATGTAAAAAGGCAACAAAATTATGTAACCAATTGTAGTTGTTAAAATTATAATATGTGACAATCTTAAGTGATTAAAGATTGTCAGAGACTTTAATAAGATTTGTTGTAGGATTTAAAACTAACTCACGTGGAAAAGTGAAAAGTGAGAAGTTTTGTGTCAATAGTATTTGTGTGAATATGAGATTTCCCTTTCTTCCTTTAAAGTTGAGGTATTTATAGGAGTTCTTAACTCTAGATCTCAGATCTCTAGAAAATAATAATTTATTCTCAAAGTGGGAGAATGGGGTTATTAATCTCCTATTCTTTAGGGGAGCATAGGCGAATCCCCTTGAATCTTCCTTCGTAGCATTGGTTATTCGAGCATGCCATTCCCCACGCTTTCTTGCTTCTAGCGAGTTACACGGGATATGAGCGACATATTCAAGAAATAAGTGTTACATTCAATAAACGGTCGATCGAACTGATACATAGGTAACCAGGACACGATTTTGGCGATACATTATTTTTCGCACCATGTCGTCCCTTGTGGGTCCTTCGCAGATATACCAATACTCAATTCTTCAAACATGAGGGCTTGGAAAGGACGGAGTGATTTAGACTTTTTTCCTCCCTTTATTTGGATGGGGCTCGCAAGTATGATGCAACTCCCTCATGTATAGGGCGAGTCTAGGATATGTCTCAATGTATTGATGATGTGATCCATGCAGAAGTTCAGGGAAATTCTCAAATGCTAGTTGATGGAATAATACACGAGATATCAAATAAAAACAATGATGATTTAATCTTGGGAAACTATATTGGCATTGTTCTCCCACACAAGCCAAAAACATGCAGAACCTTTTACGTCTGATATGAAAGCTAGGAGAACTTTGACTACCCCTAGGCTTCAAACCTCTATGAAAGGGATTGAAGCCTAACCCATTCACTTTTTCTTGTACTTTTGCATATAAGCTCTTTGCGATTCTCCTTCGTCAAATTCACTGGTTCTCCAACCTTCTCAAGCTCATACCCTCTTTTACAGGTACATGTTCGCCATTTTTTCTTCTCTCTTCTCCCTTTATGAAGATGATAAGGGGATTTAGATGAGAATAATAACCTAATAGATCCCTTAACTCACGATGTGTACATAACCCTATGGAATCACTATTATCGAAACACCAAATATCCTAATAGGATGATTGATTGTAAATTAGTTGGACTTGTCATGTTAGGTAGTTGTAAGTGTTCAATTAGCTTTGATAGAGAGAGAGAAGTTGTGGTAGAGATAATTACTCCTTTTTCCCTTTTATTTTCTCAAGAAACGAGAAGATAATGGTCACCTCTAACACTGAGCCCAAAGACGTTGTGTATTTTGAGTCTACTTACATCACTGAGGAAAATATAGACTATTTTTTGCAACAGGTCAACCTCTCTTCTTCAGGTGACGAATAAGTTGTCCTGGAGACATGCTCTATGGTTGATAGGGCTAATATGGTTGTCTCGAACCACTCCCTCAGTCCATAATTCTTATTCTACCTCCCAATCATTCACGACATAAGGGATCTCATCATCTTTTCCTCGTTCGAGGCGGTGGTCTTAAAGGTACTTTATGTCGCCTCTCCTAGATCACGCCTAACCGTTGGAGTTTGATTAGGGGGTTTGGGATCATATGCTGGCGACTAGGGGTTCATCCTACCATAGGGATGTTCTTCTTTTTCCATGACACCAAGGAAACTGTTCAAGTGGGATGGGTGACGATTTAAACCTTTCATGGGAGAGGTTTATTCAAACCATAGTCTAATCACTATAAGAAATCTAAAGACAAATTTGTGAGAGTAAGAAGGCGATACGACTCCTCCACATTCATTATTGGTTCGGATGAGGCCCTCACTTTTCTCTAGCTTGAACTGATAATCTAGTGGCAATCTTTGGATACGACTTTGACTACCTCATTTTGGATGAGGTGGAGATGTCTGGATATTGGACGAGTTTGAGGTTATGGCTTCCCGCACCATGATCATATTGGATCTGGGGGAGAATAAATACATGGACAAATATTTAAGTAAGTTTAATGTACTAATAACTCTTACTTGGGATTTTTATGGTCATATGGCTCATATTTGTTATTCCTCCTTTTATAGAAAAGAATACTAAAATATCCCTAGGTGAAAGGAAGGAACGCCTGACAAAAAGAAAAGTTGAGCGCTCAGGACAAGAGAACCCATGGAGTTGTTTGGATGTATTTCATACCAAATGGTTAAACAACAAATTAAAAGTGAGGTTCCTAAAAAGCCATATGCCCAAAAAATCCAGAGGCGAGAAGTTTACTCCTCTCATGGCTCTAAGGGTAAAGCCATTATATCAGCATTGTAGAGGGGGTGCGTATTCATACAGAGGAAGGATTCGCCACCTCAATCCTCTATATGGATTGATCCTAACTTCGATGTCATCAAGTTCATTGGAGATCACATTCCTTTTCGTGGGGACTTCCTAAGTTATTACAAGGTTATCTATAATAGTTCGTCCCTTAAGTTGTCTAATCTCAAGGAGCGCCACCTGTCGAGGGTCCTATTGATGGAGCGTGCTAACAAAGAGAAGCATTCTCAGACTAAGAACAAGCTAAAATTAAAGCTCAATGGGGTATTTCCAAAGTTAAGGAGATAATAGAGGCCTTACAAAAGGGGAAGGATATTGTCATACACTAATTTTTGACATAAGATCTCGCATTCCACCTGAATCATTGTATAACCAGGATTCACGACCAATTTTTGCCAATTCTCGAGTCAGATTTCAAAAATTTATAACTTCTTCAATTTTCGATATTTTTAGCGGCTCTTTTTACATATGATTCTCCTTGGTGTTATCTACAACTTTTCTTTACAATTCGAGAGCTGATTATGTTTAAAAAAAGCCCGGAAAAATGGAAATATTAGAGGTCGTTTAAATTTAGTGAATTTGGACTTAATTTCGATTGTGTTTTGTACGAGTTTATAAAATCATGCATTCTTTACATCTTTCTTCTTCTCTTAGTCATCACTTTTATTTTATTAAAAAATTTTAAAAAATATTTAGTTCAAGCCATGTTCATCTTTATTTGCATTTTTAATTAAAAATATATATCAAAACATTAATCTTTTATTGGTTTCATTCAAATTTATATTTTTTGCATCATTAAATCCAAAATCTCAAATAAAATATAGTTTAGTGTTTTTATCATTTACATAGTAGAATATAGGTTCTTTTTACTTTTTGCATTTTTAGAATATGTAAATCTATTTTTGTTTTTTAGTTATATTATTATTTATTTAATTAAAAAAATCATTAAAAAAATATTAATTTTAAGTTTCATATTTTTTATTTTCATTTTCATTTTTTATATAGAAATTATTATTGTTACTAACATTTTTGTCATATTTATTATTATTATTATTATTATTATTATTATTATTATTATTATTATTATTATTATTATTATATTTTTTGTTTGCCATAAAAGAAAGAAAACATACATCTTTTTACTCGTTTTATTCTACCTACATGTAGTCCATCGCGTTAGCTACCCAACTGTTGTACCCCAAAATTTGCCCTCCCATTTCCTCAACATTTTCTCATCACCAGACCTTTGAAGATCAAGATCCAATTAGGGTTTCCTCTGCTCAAGATTTCTCCTTGCACTAATGGACCCAAATTAGGGTTTGTGTTTGCACAAAGATGTTTTGACCTAAAATGCCTAAGATGACTTTCATGCTTCATATTGGACTCCCAAGTTTATCCATACCAAGTTTCAAGTCTTGATGCCAAGTTTTGCCCAGTCAATTGGACAGATGACCTAAAAATCAGCTGTATTGGGGAAAAAGTCAACTGTGGCCAATTGACAGTCAAATCTCATGAAAATTGACCCACATCAACATTATGAACTCATGTGGACCATTTGATCAAGTTTGGATCACAATTCCACAAGAAATTTGATCAGATCACAAAAAGGGCAAAATGGTCATTTTTAGGGTTTTGACTGTACAAAGGCAAATTTTGA